TCATCAAGGCTTGACCTGGCAAGAACGGGAAGCGGCCTTCTTGCCCTTTGGGCTCGTTGGGCGGATGACGAGATGACGAGGCATGCAGGGCGAGGAGGACAGCGAGGGGTCAGCAGGAGGACTACGAGGTGGAAGGCAAGCACCATGATGAGGCAGAAAGCGAGGAGGACGAGTACCAGGAGCAACAATAAGGAGGATGAGGAGGAGGAGGAGGAGGGCGACGACAAGAGCGACAGAACGATGAGGAGGGGCAGCAGGAAAACGTCAGCGTGGAATGACGAGGAGTGCGAGATGAGCGAGAGGACGGACGTGTAAATGCGTGCGGATCCCTGGGACCTTCCGGGGCTTCCTTTGAGGGCTGCTGGGATCTGTACCACTTGCGAAGCCTACCCCCGCAGCTCCAATCGCCGTGGGGTATCGGACAGCCCTGCTGGGTGCCACCTGGCTGCTGACATCGCTCAGATTCTGAACCCCAGCTGGTTTTTCAGACATCTGACCCGCAGTGATAGGTATCACATGTGGTTGCCTACAGGACCGTCTGGGGTTATCCTAAAGCTCAAGGCTTCTCGGGGGCCTGCCAGTGGTCTTTGGGGATCTTGGGCGGCTTGCATGGAGTCTTCTTGGACTGCCTGGGGGTGTCTTGGGGTGCTTCGGGAGCCTTACTGGGCCCTCTCGGGGCCATCTTGAGTCGTCCTTGGGCTCTTTTGAGAAGTACAGCCTCATGGGGCGCTCTTGGGAGCATGTTGTAACCATACTGGGGCGATCATGGCCAGTCTTGGAGTCCTCTGATGGGCCGTCTGTATCTTGTATGGCTATTGAAGCCCTCGGGGAGCGATTCCAAGCCGACGGTGGCCCGGATCCCCTTCCAAAACCAACGCGTTGAGGTTGTCCCGGGCGAAATTCCGCAATCTATGAGAAATCTGGCTGGGCAGCAATGGCACGCGTCATTTCTGTTTGTTGGTTTCGTGGAAAGTACCGTGCTGTTGCTCTGTCGTGTTGTAGGTATGGTCTAGGATGCTCCATTTGTAGGGTAAAACATGAAACAACAGAGGGCGTGGAGACTCGAGCTGTTTTGTTGTCTCCGCGCTTGTTGCGGTGCTGTTTTGTTGTCGCCGAGGCGATGGTCCAACTAACTGAAGTTCGGCGGCTTCAGTTTTGTAGTGCTCTACAAATGGAACACACGTCGGTTTCACGCATGCGTGTTTCGATGCAGCAGCAATTCAATCATTCGATTTTTGATCACCGCCCTCCGAAACCTACAAGCGAAACTACGATATCATCAAAAACAAAGGTGTGAAACATTTCAGGATGTACTCAACACTGGATCCAAAACATGATGTGTAGACATTTCCAAGGGAACGACACTTGAGTGCGATCGTCATTATGCACCGCCTGTCTTGCATAATCGGCTCTTAGGTTGTTCCCTCCTCCTCCTCTTCCTGCTCTTCTCCTCGCTCGTATCAGCCACGTCCCTCCCTCCTCGTCCACTCTCCCGTCACGCCCATGCCTCCCCCCGACGTAACGCAGGAGTAGGGGAGAGCGCAACGCCTTTCCAGTCGCGAGTCGCGCTTGCGGTCCTCGGGCCCAGACGCGGCCGACGCAACTCCACGCCGCGAGGCCCCGGGGGGCCGAGCGAGACGACCCGACTTAGCGGGCGCCAAGGTAGAATAGGGGAGGCAGGGCTTGAAATAAGGAGAGGAAAACCTTGACACGTACGGCGGAGAAGAAGGAGAGGAGGAGGAGGAGTAGGAGGAGGAGGTGGAGGAGACGGACGGGAAGGAGGAGGTGGAGGAGACGGATGAGGACAAGGAGGGCCTCACGAGGATCGCAAACTGTTTGGTTTATCGTAGTGCCGTTTCATTTCTCAAGTTTCCAGTGTCCAGGGCTTCTGGGATATGGCCGCCGTCGGACGGCAGCCTTTGCGCGTTGCGCTGGTCGGCGCTGGCGTGTGGATCGACGGCGTCGGTTTTCGATTGCGGCTGGATGGTGTGGCATCGCAGCAGTTCGCATCGACCGTGTCGGGTCGCGATGGTGCTCTCAGGCGGCGAATTACTGAGGCGATCGCTGGGCATCGCCAGTGGCTGATGGAGCGCAGTGGGGATATTGGGCTCCTCGACCCTGATGTGGTGCTAGTTGTTCTCAGTGATGCTGGTTGTCACGTGTCGGGCCCTGACTGGACACACGTTTGTGCGACGGCCGCAGCAGTTTGCCAGCGCAACCAGCAGCACCACCATCAACATCAGATTGTTCCGATTGTTCCCTCGGGCGGCGCGGTCGTGCCAGCTGGACAGGCTGACGCTGGCCAGCTCGTCCCAGCCCAGGCGCATTGTCAGGGAAACTAAGGAGGAAGGTGGTGGATGGGAGGATGAGAACGAGGTTGAGAGTGGAGGTGGTGGTGGATGGAACAACACATACAGTCGCTTCGCGATGCAGGCGCGTCAGCCCGACGCGGACCACGCCGTGCAGATCGCCAGGCTGAAACGCAGGACCCTTTTGAATGATGAGATGTGGAAGCGGGGGGCAAGGTGAATGATGCGAGTGTATTTGTCGGTCGTTTAAAGCATGTGGTTTCTGGATTCCCCAGGCCCCGGTATATGTCAAACGCCGTCCTACTTCAAGCAACGAGGAGCAGCTCCTCGCTTTGAAGGTGGCGACGCCAAGCTGTTATCAAGGCTTGTTTTCCTACTTCACGTTGCCTGCCGCGACCGACGTGCACGCGGAGCCCTGCCCCCCGCTTCTCCGTCTCATCATTATCCAGGAACGTTCTGTTGTCGCAGCGGGTGCGACGCAAATCTGACGCACTGGTGGAGGTCAGGAAGAAACTGAAACATGCAAACCGGGAGCTGGCTGAGTTTCGGCGTCGGAGCTCATATCTTGATATCCAGAAGAGGGGGGCCAAACAATTGACTCAACAAGGTAAGCTGGCTCTCGGTATACGCCGCAACCTCACGAACATAGCGCAAAGACATGTTGGAATGATCATGTGTTTTGATATTTCGCAACAGACAATTGGCAGGGCGGAAGTGTTCGCGGGGTCAGCTTTGGTTGCCAGCAGTCGCGCGTTCCATAACCTGATTAGGGCTGCGTGGGGATCCCTGAACTCCAGAACTGCGTCAGAACCTGGTCGCCTGGCACTGGCCTGTATATCCTGGATGGCGGACGCGACCAACTCGGCCGTGTGGCAGAGGAGGACCAATGGGGGGTCTCCAAAGTAATATGCACGCGGTGGTCAGTGATCACCGTGATCACCCCCCCCTCCTCCTCCCTCTCCTCCTCCTCCTCCTCCTCCTCCACCGCGTCCTCCTCTTCCCCCCCCTCCTCCCTCCTGCCTCACTCTTCCCCCCTCCTCAATATCATCATCGCCTCCTTCCCCGCTCCGCCCCCCTTCCCCAATCGCTCCTCTTTGAACTTCCTCTCGTGGGGCCCTGATCAGACTGATAAGAGGAAGAGGGGGTAGAGTGTTTTTTTCTGCCCAGAGGAAACTTCGCAGTTTATTCGCGCAGACAACAGTGGCGGCGTCGAGCGATAATAAGTGGCACGTGAACCTTATTTCTGGAAACCTTTCTCACGCGGAGGCTTTTGCTTCGCGATCACATCTAGCCGATATTTTGCCAGTTGAGACGGGAACGCGTGATGGTGCGTTCGCTTTGACGCTGAAACAGTTGCAGTCCCTCGGCGTTCCACTCTGGACAGAAGTGCCCGCGACAATCCCTGGCGACGGCCTCGTGGCCGTGGTCGCATACCTCAACGTCACCGATGCTGGTTCAGATCAGAGAGCTGTCAAG